AGACCCACGATAGAAATTCTTACAAATCGTTGAATAGAAATATTTTTCAATAAAACATCATTTGCAATCGATGGAATAGACTTATAAAATAGATCTACCGAAAACTATTTTCTCGTTTTGGGGAGAAATCATATTTATTTCTATATATTATTCTATATTATTCTATATATTAATTTAATTTTTTAATCTGTATGTTATTAATTTAACAGCTGTAAACATTATTGATTTCGTTTTTGGTTATGCCTATTTTATGCCTATGCTAATTCATTTCTAAATATATGATTTCTAAATATATAATTTCGAGATTATTTATTAATTAACGAAACAAAAAAGAAGAATTTTCGATTTTATAAGTCGATTATACCTTGTAAAGTATAAAAAAAGCAATAGTAAACCTAACTTACTGTCCGTTGAGTTAAAAATAACATTTTGTTACTTTTCAGTTTTATGTTGCGTTCGAAGAGCGCATATATCAAAATATAAATCAAACTATTTCCATTGTTAGTTTTAAAGTAAACAATGTTTATATTAATGTATACATTTAATAAATAATAAACTAAATTAGAGTCAAACTTAATACATTTTATTGAGTTAAATTGTTTAATTTCCTTTTTTTTTTAGTTAAATTAATACATATTGTGTAGAAACAGTAATACTATAGAAAAAAAAACTCAAATTAGATATAGTTTGACATTACAAATTTAATAGTATAAGTATTTTTTTATTAAAATATTTTCATATTAATTATTTTTCAAGAATTTTTATTGTATATTTTTTTGCTTCTGACGTCACAATTTGAAATAGAAATGGCGAGTGAACAGGAGCTTGTAAAGCTTCATCAAAACAATAATAAATCAAACAATAGTTTTATCAGAACAAAAATATTAAATTAAAATAGAAGTTGAAACGTTTATAGATGTTCATTTTTAATTTTAACTTAATTTAATATCTTTTTTTTTAATTTTGATATAATCTTAATACACGGAGTGTGCGAGTTTGTTGAAGTGTCTAAAAATTTAATTGGATATAGATCTAAAAATAATTTTATTTGGATCATCAAAATAATTAGATTCTGAAATAGTCAGAATGTCAAAACTTTTCGCAACATTGCTCATCATGCTTGAGAGATTTCTTATAATTATGTTGATGATCCAACAAGCTATTTTCAAATCTATAATATATAGTTAAATTTTTATAAATTTTTATAAATACTTCAGTAAAACCTTTTCATGTGTCTGTTTTCTTTCCTTTCAAAATCGATCATTACATCGACAATTTTAGCGTTCAAAGACCTAATTTCAGATTTTTCGCACTCGTATAAAACGGATATATTGCATATCGATAACGCCGACCGCGAAGGACTTCCTGTGCACGTATACACAGCACATACCTGGGATGCGGTTATCCCGGATGTACATTGTGGCGTCGGCAAGGAGTGCTTCCTGGCATCCCTCCATGGTGAGAGCAGATAGGGATTCAAGGATGGTGAGTCTGGATCGACACATCGTGGTGGTGATTCCGCGCGACAGCGCTCCGCTTCTTCTTCGACGACAATCAACGGCTCACCGGTGCTTCCACTGCTCGAACTCGGACAATACGATTGCCTTCTCATCTCTGTTTTTACAAATATGTATTTTATAAGATCTCAAAATTTAATAAATTCTAAAAATTTTTCAATTTATTAATCTTGAAGATTAAATTTTTAATTGTGATATTCTAGGAAATTCTCTTTAATTAAAGTTTATTTAAAGATTAAAACTATAAGCACAGACAGTGCACTTTATTTATCTTTATTCTTTAATTATCTTCTACAAATATTTTCTCCATTTCATCAATGTAGATTAACATTAGAACCGCGGCAGTGCCATTTTTTATCCCTCTGATAGTTTTTCCTTTTCTAGTTAATCTGGATTTGCATGTAGAGCTTTAGATTTATAACTTTAGATATATAACTTTCACAAACAATTAATTTAATTGATAAACAAATATTTTTACTTTTATGATGACAATCATTTCTTATAAAAAACCCAGATTTACTTTGAATCGCGATTGGATTAATTTAAATCCACGGTTTTAATGTTAACTTTAATTTTGATTCAACTTACTCTTCATCTTTCTTAGTTTTTAAAACCACGCTTAAAATTTCAAGATTAAATTGTATCAGTTGAATAGACATTAGATATCCGGTATTTAGCTCCATTTATAACGGAATTAGCGCCTCGGTGTACATGCTGTTTAAGATTCCGAATGGATGTCCGAATGGACGGGATTTCTCGAGTATGTGCGATACCGAGATTCGAGAAATTCCCCGCAGAATTTTTCTCAGAGACAAGCATCCATGAACGGGTATAAAGCATTGCACGTAATATATATAAAACCTTGTTCGGTTCGTGTAATTCCGAGCACGTGCAAGCATTTCGATTTGATATATCCAGAATATACCTTCCCTCTTCGCGTCCGTGTAATATAATGGAAGGAGAGGGAGGGGGAGGGTAATTTCGGCATTAATTCTTCTATAAATACATATTTGCGTGGGATGTAACGGGGATAATCCCGAGTCGTAATGCGTTCAGATGCAGTGAAAGGGAAAAAACATGTCGCAAATGACATCTATGCATTAAACGTCACATTTGCGCAGTTGCATAAATATTTAGTATTCGGGAGTCATATTTTTGTTCAGTATCTGGGTCAGCTGTAGTAGTGTAGTATTGTTCACGCTAATGAAATTTGCGATCACCTGCGACAGCTGCAGAATTACCTTCCATCATCGATTGTTTATTCACATAGTTTAATCGACATCGTGACGTTTCTCACAAACAAATTGCTGATGTTTTGGATATGCAAAACGCGCAGAACATTTATTATAGTATAATAAGCGAAACAACAGACCTCGTAAAAATGGTAGAGTTGTTATTCCAATTGATTTTTAAATTTCGTTTCAATAAATTTTCTCTTTGTGGTCATAATATAGAAATTTGAATTGTTTAATATCTGCATGTATTCTGGCCTTTTATCGCAAAAGATCAAATCTGATCGGAGTAATTGAAAATTTAAAACGAATCTCTTAATCATAATTGAAGCATGTATAATGCTGAAATAAATTGCTCTTTGCTTAACATTCAATATTCCGTTATCAGATTTTCTCTTTTATATAATATATCGGCATGTCGAAAAAGTATGAAGAAATAGAAGAATTATATCCAAGTGCGCCACCACCTTCAAGTACGCCAAGTTCACAAATTAAATAGTACGGAATGAATACCTGTCGATTTCTTTTTAATTCACTTATATCACGAACTATAGTCACGTCCACGCTTCCGTTCAACAGAACGGAATGCTGCGATCGATCGACCTGTTTCGTCGTCTCTCTCTCTCTCTCTCTCTCTTTCTTTTACTCGTTTCGATAACGGTGATAATGCCGGAAATTAATTTTCGAATACATAGGTCAGTCTATACAGCGGATTTGGTCAGCGACTGCGTATCTAGAAATAACGAATGCGAAACCGCGGGAATTCCGGTGACATCAAGAGGAAAGGCGGCGGATGGGAAAGCATCCAGGAAAGCAGAAAAGAATTATTATCTCGGCGATAAGGATGAGATATATAAAGCGACGTAGCGTCCTTAGGAATTTATTATTATTCAAAACAAATTTGAGTGCGCATGAGAGTACGTTCCGCAATCATGAAGCTGTTCGCTATCCTCGTTATCTTCGTCGTATTGGCTTGTACCTCAGTCAGCACACTACCGGCTGTCTATGACGGACCTACTTATGAACTGAGTAAGCATACATTTCACTGAGAAAGACTGAGAAAATAATTCATAAATAAATTTATGAGTTATCTTAATCTTCCGGTGCTGACGCGAGCAGCATCTGCTCTAGTAATACAGTACTGATGCTGGGTTTGTAATATCCTTCTACATCGATAATACTGTCAGTACCAACAAATATTGATAATATTATTGATTGTGTGCGGTTAATATTGATGGATTGAATATGGATTTCTTGATTTTTGAGCAGAACAAATTGAGCAGGATACTGTTGATACTTGAGAATCATCGTTAATAATGCTGTCAATATTTATGGGTATTAAGAGATTTTTGATTGTATAAAATTCGTAAAATTGAGTTAAAATATTATTATCAATAATGCACAGAAAGAACAATTGTTGATCAAGTATCTAAAAATTTAGTTAGATTACAGATCTGAAGATAATTTTGTTGACCATCAAAATAATTATATGCATGCTCAAACTGGTTGTTAGAATGTCAAAACTTTTTACAGCATTACTCGTGCTTGACATTTTTATATAATTATTTTAATGATCCAACAAAATTATTTTTAAATCTGTATCTAGCTAAATTTTTAGACTTCAGTAAAACCATTTTTTTCGTATATTAATCATGTTAAATTATAAAAATATTGATGTATACTATCAGTATTACTGATTCAATATTACTGATCGATGTTATTAATCGTAAACAGAAGACTCACTTAATTTAGACTAATCAAAAAGCACTAATTAATTTCAGAAAATCAAAATAACATAACTCATATTTAAAAAAGAATCAATATTAGGCATATTTTAATGAGAATAATCCGAATTTGTAGATGTAATATAAAGAAAATTAAAAAATATAATGACTAACGGGCAATTGAGAACAATAATCACGCAATTATTCATGCGTAATAATTAATAAATGTATTGTTCAAGACGTTATATACAAAATAATTATGTTTATGGCGGAGTCGTCATTTCAACAATTTATTTGGTGCGAACCAGTACTCTGAACAAATTTTGCGTATCCATTCTTTATAAATAACTTATTGTACTTTTTCAATATTGATCATAATTAGCAGCTGTGCTCACTCGGCTTATTGACATGAATGTTTCTCAAACTTCCTCAACTGCTCTTTTATATTTATTTTATTCGATTCGATTAATTTTTGAATCTACCATAGGACATTGCTGATGATGACTCGAATGGAGCCGAAACGTCCGATTCTTCTTATTTATATGTAACATCTAGAACAATACATTTATTAATTATTATGCACGAATAATTGCATTGATTATTGCTTTCAATTGCCTGTTAATCATTACATTTTTTATCTCAAAAGCTCAATTTCTTTTACTTTTATATTATTATATATTACTTTTATAATAAAGAAAATTGTTTGTCATTTTTGACAGAGAGATTTTAATTGAGAACCAGCAATATATACATATATCAGTTTCGAAATTTAGATTTAAATAATAGTCAAGTTCCTTTAGTAATGGAGCGATCTTAACAAGTTGTAATTAATCTTGGATTAATCTATATATAATTCTTACTTTATCAGAGATTTATTTCACTGAGATATCAAGTTTGAGTTACATTAAGTAACTTTTTTGTCGATAATTAGATCGGATATTATAATAAATGTTTGGCTCGTTGAATATTATACCGTCATTTTATTTTCACGGAAAACGGTACGTCGCCGAGATACAACGTGACGATACTTTGCAATAGAGTAATAAATATCTAGAATGCTCAGTCTTTTGTCTCGCGCTGCATAATAGTTGCACATATATTCTTCCTCTTCTCGCTTTCCTCTCCTCTCGCTGACACCCTTTTGGCGTTCTCTGATAATACGCTGTCGATATCCTTTCATATCGAGCTCGACACGACCTTTTCTACTGATGAATTCCATTATTATGAGTTACTATATCATTTCCGAATGCTGAATTAGAAATAATCTTCGCGCTTAGTTGCGTACTAAAGCTGTTTCCATAAAGGCCCTGCTAAATATTTTTTAAATATCAATTCAAATATCAAAGTGATTTGCATAATTAGAGTTACATAAAAAGGTTGAAGTTTGAAATTTAATTCGCAAGAGTCATACAATTCCCATTATAAAACTTTGAAAACAGAGAGAAAGGGAGACGAAGTTGTTTTAAATTTCTTCGAAAACTTTTTACTTATCTCGCTTTATGTATCAAGAACAATAAAGAAAAGGAACTTAACTTCATCTTCATAAGAGAATATACATATCTATACGTATCCTTGATAAAACCTCTTCTACGCAGTCTAACGAAAGCTCTCAAGACACCGGATACTTTTAAAGGGTACATAAAACGCGATACTCCGCAATAATTGATGTTCTCTACCTTTATCGGAAAATAAAGCGGAGGAATTGCATTTCAGCTACCATCGAGGATCCAGTGAACGATGAGATGCCGTCGGATCTGTCGCCCATCCGAAACCGGCGCGTGACCTGCGACCTTCTGTCCTGGCAGTCCAAGTGGTTAAGTATCAATCACAGTGCCTGCGCAGCCAGATGCCTGTCGCAACGACGCAAAGGTGGCCGCTGCCGCGACGGTATCTGCGTCTGCAGAAATTAGGCGTCGTACTCGCCCTTGAATCGTTCCACTCTTGGCCAACGCAACGTCCCATGGATCTCGCTGTCACTCATTATCCCACTACCTATTGACTACGTTGGTGAACGCCATTGCATTGTATCCAAATTAATACTCATGGGAGATCACGAAGGGACGCGATTTAATCATCCGATCGATAGTTGCGACCTCGATTGTCCATCCTGCCGAGCGAATTTTCACCGAAATGGATAATATCATTATTAACGATAATTATTTTAATCACTTCCGCGCGTCATTACATGCGTGTTAATAAGAATAACAATTCTTGTTCGCGTCAGCGTCGCGACGGGAGTTTCCCCGGGAAATTGACAAGAAATGATATTGATGTTATTAATAGAAATTAATTAAACTGTTTATTGTAATGGCATTGTGATAGGACATTTACATAACATTTGTCAGACGATGTCAATCGATTCATTATGGCGCGCGCATAAAATTTCGGCCAAATCAAGCGTGGTCATTGCGAAAATTATTTTAATGTATACATTTCGATTAATATTAAATAATTATAATATTTATGCCATATATTTTTTTAAAAACAGATTAAATGTCGGTATATAATTGCATCGATATTTACAAATACTGGCTACTACGAAAACGTAGTCATGCGAAATTTTGATAAATGTTGATATATGTTGATTAATAGTATATAATACTAAATAGTTACAATATTTATAATATATGTTTAAAAAAAATTTAGACCAATTAAATATCGGTATAATTGCATCGAGATGCCTACAGATTTTTTCCCAACTGTGTGATTATTTACTAAATATAATGCAAGTGTGTTTATATGTATGTTAGATTAAAACCTGTTCTATGAACCTATCTCTGTACGGAACAACAAATTGCATAATTAATCGATCTATTAATTTTATAATAAATGTCCTTTTATTAGATTAGAATAATTCAATAAGCTGCGCAATCTCGATAGCTTTTTTATAAAATTAGATCTTTGTAAAAACTTTATATTTTATGCAAAACAAATGATATTTCGCAAATAATTGTTACGTATATTAAAAATAATAATTATATATTAATTATCTGTTTGTTATTTTACAAGATAGGAAGAATGTTTTGCTAAAATATCTAAAAATTGAGTTACATACAGATCTGAAAATAATTTTGCATCATCAAACTAATTATGTAGGACATTCAAATTGGTTGCCAAAATGTTAAAACTTTTTGCAGCATTATTTTCAGATCTGCTAAATTTTTACTTTAGCAAAATTGTTCTTTCTATGTACCTGTATTAATACCTGTAGTAAAATTAATATTAATGATAAAACTAAAAACGGGTGTTGCTAATAACAATTAATGGGAGAGATAATAGCAATTAAAACGTTTGTGAATTGACAATTGACCTTTATCTCGCCGATTTAAAATCTATTTCCTGATGTATATAAAAGCAACATGTGGGTCCGATCGATAGTTCCATGTTGGCGAATCCAATCACTAACGTAATATCTTTCGACGCGCTGTATATTGATTCGTGCGTTTGCGAACGTGCACAGAACACAGATCGCTGCTGAACAATGAGCAGTCCAACATATCCCGGGAGATGGAATCTAGAATTAAATTTGAAATACACCGAACAGGAGAATAGTCTCTAAGGTTCATTCGATATGTACGATATATATATATGTATATATAAAGTACGATATATATATATATATATGTATTATAAAGAATGATTTAGCTAAATCATATAACTGAGACTAGATATATATCTTGAAATAATTATGTTGGACCATCAAAATAATTATACAGAATTCAAGCATGATAATAACGCTATATAATTATTTTTAGATCTGTATCTAGCTAAATTTTTAAATACTTCAGTAAAGTGTTTCTTTCGTGTACGAAATATAAGATATTTCTGTCGTATATATATATATATTTGAAAGAATTGATTATCAAAATTTAAATTTATAATATTTCGGATAAAAGGATAACGGTTTTTACGTTAATATTATAGAATAATTTTGCTAAAGTACTTAAAATTTTAACTAGACACAGAAAATAATTTTGTTGGACCAACAAAATAATTATCTAAAACGCTTAAACTAATGATAATACTGTAAAAAGTTTTGACAATCTAACTAATTTGAGTTCTACATAATTATTTTGATGATCTAACTTTGTTTTTAAATTTGTATCTATTTAAATGTTTAGATATTCCAGCAAAACCATTCTTTCCATGTAATAAACATTTTCTTTAATGCTTGACAATCAGATTTTTCTGGAATATATCGATAACTATTTTATATTCTAAAAATACACAGAATTTTAAAAATACAAGACTGAATTATCTGTAATTATATTTGTAATTACACGTATATCGATCCTGATACATTTCTAAGATTTATCTCTGATTTATCTTGATTTATCAGATTTAATTCCAATTTCTGAAACATTCAGAATTTTTGGGATGATCTCTTAAATTTATGCGCCATTTAATATGTACGATTCTCGTATTTGTGATCACGCATATATGAAAATTCTCCACTCGAGATACATCTCGCTCGACCTTTCATTTCTACCTCCAATTCTATTCATGATAAGGACCATCCATGATGAAAACTGATACTTCAGAAGGGCACTCTAAAAGATATCTGAATGCGCATTCCGCATAAGAAGATATTAGAGAGATCAAATGGATTAAAACGAAATCGGATTAGTCGAAGGGGTTTCTTAAATGGAGCGAGATAGATGTTTCTACGATCCTGTTCTCGTCGTCCTTTAAATGGACGACAATTTCATTAGCAGCATTGTACACCAGATGTTTTCGACCGATGTCGGGTTGTATTTTTTTTTGTTGCGGCGACCTCGACAGTGGGAGGGAATCGAAAAGTTGCGACAATTAATGGCCCGTCTGTGCAATAAAAGTTTCACCGACAAAACCGCCAGTAACTGAACATGACGCAGTTACGTGACCCAGGGCACAAATTATCGGCGTGAGAATACTCAATATTCGCTTCGCAGAACCACTTTACGTGCAATTTCCGAGACAATGTAACACAGAGGTGGTGCTTCTATTCTGCGTTCTCGATAAGTTGTTCACTGCTTGGTTCCATGTCGATCCGACATTAAATTTGTTCCAATAGAACAAGATCTCTTTGGAAGAGAGAAATATATAAAATCGCAATGGATAGTATTTGAGGAAAGATCGCTTTGATCAGAATGTTATGGTTAATTCGATTCTCAAGCGGCGTGGATTTACGGATGACGGGATGGACGGGATGTTAACGTTTCAAAGTTGTCGACTTCGGGGAAGAGCTTGAAATTTTGTTTTCTGAGGGCGACTTTGAACTCTTGCTTTACCTTCACAACGTTCTCAGGTATTTAAAATTATTACTGACTGAAGTCGGCAAATGGAACAATACTCAACCAATATATCGAAATAAAATCAGCTGTTCTCGAGTTCTATTGTCCGCGCGACGCGGCGTCACAATAAGAATATCTAGAAATGCTCGTACACGACATAAACGGAAGAAAATAACTTTTTCCATTGAGTAAGGAACATTAATCTTGCGAATGCACGGACGTTAATCTTAGAATATTCCACGCGTTCTTTACGAGAATAACAAAAAGAGCGTACCTTATTATTACCTAAGTACTTTATACTGCTTTCTGCGAGAAAATATTTGCAAATTATTCCTGTAGTTTTTCCAATTTTCTCTCTTTCTCAAAAGGGAAATAGGAAAATGTTTTATTAAGTCATATTTAAAGGCTTCTTTAGATTTATAATGTTTTTATACTTTCTAAATAATTATCATTTTATTGCTTTCAGCGAAAATATTAAGAAATATTAA